CCCCAGTTACATATGCAGTGGATATGGTTGTACTTGTCATTCCACTGCCTAATACTCAGAGGTCCCAATTTTCCCTGCTGTTTTCAAGTGATTCATCGAGAGGGAGGACGATCTTCATGGCAACCCTGTCCATCCTTTTTAAACTTACTTCCAGCTTTCCCAGTTCTGCTTTCTCAGAGCTATCGTGTAAACCACACTGTGGGACTGTGTTATCTTTTCCTGATGAGCTCGTGTGGTGAGAGGGGTTGGTTTCCTTAGGTATGTTGGAAGCCTCAGAACGTGCAGGGGAAGGGGGTAGTTACAGATGCTTTCCAAAGTCAGTTTAAGGAGTTTTGTTGGCAGTTGAAAGCACGATCCACTACAACATGGGTCAGGATTGAGTGGCTGGAGGAGGAGGATGATGTCTGACTGTCTTGGCTGCTGGAGGAACTGCTTATGTACCACCTTCCTTAAATGCCTTTATTCTCAGATTTGTTTTTCTTATGTGGCCCAGATGTGAAGTCTCCAATGTGGACCTTTGTTCAAAAGAATCAACAATAAAAGTTAATGATTTGGTGATTTCAAGCTATCTAATTTATTGTGAAGAAACATAATATAATCCAAATATTACTGCATCATACTCTTGATATGACTTTCACTCCATATCAGTTAGCCTATATTTAGGCTTGGAAAAAGCTCAGACATCAGAGGGTTGAAGAGAGCAGGTGTAAGAGTTTTGCAGGGGACACTTTTTCCTGTTTTGTTTACCTCAAGTCAAAATGTTTTTGTTAGTAACTCTTCTCTTTTTTGTCAGTATGTGATTACCCCCTGGTATCAGCATTATGAGTTCAGCATGAATAAATCTAGAACAGCATGTGATAGGAGACTCTGAAATGTTGTTGGGGTTTTTTTGCCAAATACGTTCCTGCAATTCTTTCAGTGGGTCATCATACCATCTCCAGCATTAGAGGTTTTACATGGCTCGTGGCCAGTTGTAATTCCTTCCGTATTGCAGAAGATTTGCATGGCTTCGTGTGCTGAAAGCTGAGTGCGAAGTATTTTGGGGTGTTGAAACTCCCGATGTGTTCATCACATTAACTATTCAGTTTCAGGTTATTTGAAAGAAAATTGGCAGTGTTGGTTAAAATATATTCATTTTTAGGAAAACTGCAACTCTGTTAGGATCTGTGTACTATTTACAAGTTTTTCTCACAAGCAAATACTTGTTATCCTTTCGCTAAAGAGCAGATGGAGAACATGTGAAGCAGTGCTCCTTCAAACTTAAAATCCACACTTGACTGAAAAGAAATATGTAGAGAAAAGATGAATAACTACTGTTTTCTCATTGCTCATTATGTGTGACTCATGGCAGGGTATTCCATTTCCCAATGGCAAAGATAGATGCATCTTTCTTAATTGAAGCAAGTTTCCTTAATCCTTGAGAAGCTGAGCTCATTATTCACTGAGAGTAATTCTGGTGCTTGTGCGTGGCAGCGAAAGGTATGCACTTCAAAAATTACAGCAAATACTGCAATTCAGAGGATTGATTGGCTATGCTGAGAGGATGGGACCCCAAATTGAGAGGAGTCTGGAAATTGCCATTTTACATCTATAAAAGGGAAGTTTGAGCTTCCTGTAATAGACTGAGGAGAACTACCAGATACTACCGTGCTGGTAGTCACACTCCTTCTGCAAGTGTTAAGGATCTTGTGGCATTTCTTATGAAAGTTATATTTTGCCAGTTGTCAGTGGACAAAAATATCATCCTGTGCCTGATGCCCCACAATGTGCTTCCTGTCTGCATACAAGGTGATTTCTCCAGTCTTTAACTGGTGTGTTTTATTTTTCAGATTTTTCTTTCAGCATGTGAAGCACAATTGTAGTTATTATATACTGTGCACGTGTGCCTTGGCAGGATGGTTGGTGACTGATAGAATCAGTGTTTTGCACATGTGTGTCTTCTTGCACAGCAGTATAGCACAAGTAAAGGGGAGCATGTCTGAGTCAGAGCTGTCATTCCAACATGTTGTGGTTGCTTGTGTAAATCTCCAGTTACTGAATTGCAAAATTGTGCCTTTATCCACATAGACTAGTGTAAGATATTGTAATGACTGCTTTGGTACATTTGAGGGTCATTTGTCATGCCTTTTGCATATCACTTGAAAGGCCAAATCTGGTAGTTGTTCACTAGTGGCTTCTGCAAACTCTGCAAGTAGCAATGAGGTCACGAATCATGCAAATTCCTTCATATGTTTTGAAAGAAAAGGCCACTTTAAGCAAAGCATAAATGCAACCATATGCCCATATCTTGGAGTCTTCACTGAAATTTGACAGTAAAATTGCTGTGAGTATGATTTGTTTTCTGAAGAAGAAATGCTGATTCTTTTAGAGCAGTAGTGTAGCAGCAATTAACTTGCTGGTCTTTTCTAGTTAAGTGTAAAAATGTTTATGGTAGAAGATTGGTAGAAGTAAGATTTTAGTAGTTTTTAAGACAGTGCATGCCTTTGTTTCCTTTTAGAAGAAAGAGGCAGCAGCTAAAACCAGAAGAAATCTTGTTACAGTCTGTTCAATAGGAGAAAAGTATGCAAAGGAGAACTGTTACTGTTTTGTTAATCTTGGTGCAACTCTTAAATTAGTGTGGAAGTATCTATTTAGACTTATTGAACAACCATTTTGTATCAAGAAAAATCTTTACAGTACAGTTTACTTTCCTGTTGAACATTTAAAATAAAGAAGTGTGGGCTTACCCTCTTTAGCTTTTCCACCTTGATTTTGATAGTCAAAGCTGAATGATTTGGCTTTTGGAAATAACATGAAAATCTCAAACTCCGTCTTCTAATATTCTGCCTCTCTACAAAGAGGATAGTTTGCAGAAGTTGCTTCAAGGGCTGAAAGGAATACACCCTCAAGCACTTAAAATCGTCAGTTTTGTAAGTGATTAGAGCTGTTTGTTTTAATGCGATTCCTCAGAAAGATTACTGAGAGATCTGTGGGTTTGTGCCTCAGCAGCAGTGTTGGTTGGTTGCAGAGTCCTGCATGTAGGAGAAGCAGAGTGTTCCTTCAGCCAGAGTAGGACCAGTGCAGATGGAACAGAGCAAAAAGATTGGCTTACTCCTAAACACCTAAAATGCAACCAACAGCAGGACTGGATACATAAACATAGTAGGTAGCAATTGTGATACTTAAGATAGTGGAGATGTTTCCAAAACAACGTTGGCAATATGACAACTAAGGAGAGAATTGTCTGATCTGGAAACATGTTGATTACTAGAGAGATTGCTGATTACTAGAGGGATTTAGTGAATGAACCCCATGTGCATCAGAGTGGGACTATTGCACGTGAAAGGAAAACATAACTTTAAATCAGTTTTTAAATAGGAGAAGGAAGCAGCAGTTCTCTGGGTGCAGCTATCAGTTGCACTGGGAGCATACAGTTAGGCAGACAAGAGGAATGTTGGATAAAGGAGGAAGAAACGAAAAGAGAAAGAAGAGTCTAAATTGGAGAAAGTGGTGTTGGCAGTGCATGGCAGAGGGGCTGGGAGTGACCAGCAACACCCCCTGAGCTGCTGTGCAGGCAGGAAAACTTCCTCTGTCAGTAAATGAGTCAGAAGAGCTCAGGGAACACCAAAGAGCAGCACTTGTGTCACTGTTAGTCACGGTTTTGGTGAAGTACCCTGATTGTTCAGTGTGGTGGTGTCAACCTGGTGATTGCTTGAAGGGCATGTGTCACTGGTACAATGGCTGCATTAAGGCTGTTCTGGGTCATTCAGCAACTTAACCCAAAGCCTTTCAGAGGAGAGAGGTGCTCACTTGGTTTGCATTTTTTTGACATCCTGAACGTGGCAGGTTATTGTAGTTAGTGAAGCAAATGGAGCCACAGCAAATCACAATGTAGTGATACGTTCCACCTTCCACCAGCTGAGAATGTTTGGGTGGTGTGGTAGTTACAGACTATGGTTCCAGCTGTTCACTCTCAGCCTTAAATGCAAGTATTGATACTAAAATGTCTTAAAAACCAGGTAGCATGTATGGCTGTTCCCAGAGTCAAACTTATATATATATCTCCATGTTTTTAAGTATTAGCCTGCAGCATTTGTGTGTGCTGCCTGAAAGCAGCTTTACAGGTACAGGTAGAGAAAGTAAATAGCTGTGTCTTTTGCTGTGACTGGTACTGCTATGACTGCCTATCCTGAATTTCCTCTTTAAGATGCCTTCAACTCAAACTGCTTAACAGAATCACATAGTTAAAGGAGAACTTACATTCCTTTTGTTTTAATACAGGAGTGCAATTGTAAGTCTCAGAGTTCTCTCAGTTTGGTGTTTTTGCTAACTTTGCAGGTGCACCAAAGATAAAAGTTATGCTGTAGCAAAACCCTAACTTTTATGAGGTGTTAAAATGTGTGTCAATCCATAGATTAAATTGTGCTCACGTGTTACTGTGTTATAAGTCTCTTGACTCCAGAAGAAGCTAAAGTAAATGTTTCCCACATAAAAATACCGAGGGGAGATTTACTGGGAAGTGGTGTGATGTACTCTGCCACCTTGCACTGTAGCCTTTCTCCCTAAAATCTTCATCGTGAAAACATGTACAGTCAAGATTAACAGAAGGAAATTTCACAGGAAATAAAATTTATTTTGGGAGAAGAGACACAAAATTGTTACCTAACTATTCTGGAAGTCTCTTGCTGATTGCTAAAGTGATGTTTAAAGCTGGATGGAGGGACTGAGGCAGTCTGAGAGTGCAGGTGTGCATGGATGTGTGCACACTCACTCCCGAGGCTGCGTGGGGAGGCAGACACTGCTGGTCCACAGCCTTCATCCATCATTTCCTCTTGCTTCTGGGGGTTATTGAATTGAGGGGGAACTTTGGAATGATTTTGATGTTAAAAATTAATGCTTTGATTACTGCTTGAATTGTAAAGTTTCTGTCTTAAAATTGTTTATGGTCTTAGTCATGTTGATAGATGAACTGATCAATTCCCAACCAGTTTCTGATCCTCAGTGTGTATTTATTACTGCAGGCAAGAAGACAGCAAGACCCTAGTCCTGGATCTAACCTGGGAAGTGGTGATGATCTCAAACTACGTTAATCAGCGACAGCAGACACACCGTGGGTCTGCAGACATGCATTGCTTCTACTTGGCAAAGGATTTAATAAAAGACCAGAAACTGTGATAACTGGGTATACTATGGTCTGTTTCCTGACCTGCGGCAGTCGAAGTCACCACGAACTGCCATGGTTTGCACTATGTTTATGTTACAATACCTGCATTTCCCATTTTAAGCATGTAGCCAGTGGCAATTTTGAAATTTTGTTTTTCTATGCAAACGTATTTTTGTTGGCACTATTTTAGTGAAATGGAAACTTATGCAGCTATAAAACCATTTTTTTCTCAACTGTAATAAAAATTGTCACTTAAAAATAGGTCAAGATATTACAGATTTAGAACTTCTCTGTTTTGTTGGTTTTATGGATTTATTTTTTTTTTGGTAAACTGCTGGAAGCCAATGCATTCCAAGCTTAATTTTTTAATATGGGCTTTTGGAATTTTGATTGTCCTTGTTGTGCTCCTGCTTTATTTTAGGTACGCATTCTTATCTTTCTTTCAGTTTTCTTTTTTCCTCAATTTGCAAGACCTTCTTAAAACTGCTGACATTATTTTGCATTTTTTCCAAGCTAAACCCAGTGAATCTGAGCTGTTGGAATCAGTTTTCAAACTTTGTGGGTTTGTAAACGTTACAGTTGCAGTATTCTTTTAACTGCTAACAATTCATTGGTTCCACTTTTTAAATGACAGAAATCTTAAAATGTATATTTTCGTGCATTAATGCATTCTGCCCCACTATCTGTCTTAGATTTTATTCTGTACCAAGTGAGTTTGGGTGGCTGTTATACCCTGTATATAGTGCTTTACTGAAACTCAGAGAAGTCGCAGGTTGGCTTCTGTTTTATTCAGGGATTTTTTTAACTAGTTCTTCAAAGGGATACTGCAACTCTACAATCAGATTCAACAGTGTGTTAAACTGGGAACAAAAGTCATCAGCTGCCAAGGTGATATGTATTAGATCATGTTTAAGATAACTGCTTTAAGTATATTTTATATCTTAGGCTTTTTGTAAAGTTGTGCTGAACGGTGAAAAGTTGAGATGAGGTTGTGTGCAGAAGTCTCATCCTGCACACAGGCCACTTCTGTTAAATCTTATGCAAATTAATGCTACATTGCAGTATATATTGCATTTTCTAACAGGGTAAGATTTGGGATGAGTTAATATGTGTGAATTAATCTTGTTTTATTTGGGGTGATGGTGAATGGATTTGTTCCAAAGTTTTCATTGCATCCAATATGTGAAGAAAATTGATTGGAAATATGATGTCATTTGGCTTTGTTAAAATGTGGTGCTTCCTGTACAGCCTGATTGATTAAATGTCACTTAAATACCTTTTTAAAATAAGTGATCTGACTTCAGTATTTTAGGACTTATTTTAAAGGTAGAAACTCTGTATGGTTGGTACGGTCAAATCTTTATTAAATTCTATAAATAAGACAATTATACATTCCTCATTAATGGCAAAACAATTGATGCAAAAGAGGTCTTGCAAAAATGTAAGCAGATGTCAATGTGAAGGAGAATCTTTGTATGTTAATAATATGAATATTTAACATTCACTTAAAAATGTCGTTAACTGTAAACTGTGAGAATGTCATCAAATAGAAATATTTTGATACTTCAATTTAAATGTGATTCACCTGAAAGATAATCTTTTTCACTCTGTGGCCACGTATTCTTCTTGCTCTTCTTCCCCCAAAGAAATAATTTTTCTAAAGTGTTTCTGCAAAGAGTTATTTAAGGGACACACGCATGCGTCCGCACGCATCCCTGGCCTTGGATCTTCTCTGCCATCTGTGTATTTTTGATGGAATAGTCTGAAGATTTATTTTAAAAGGTTTTCCTAACGTTTCAGACCGTGGTTTTAAACCATAAGTACACAGGAAATGACGCTATCGGATATTAACGTTGCTATCTCTGTGTAAATACTGAACTTTCCCTATCATCATTTAGCATTCTGCTTTCCATATCTTAATGCTGGCATTAAGATCACAGCCCTTACCCTCTGCTGGTTAGTGCAGACTTTTTAAAGTGCATTTTAAGTTATTGATGCAATTTGATATTTTTCATAATTTCTATTTAAACTGAAGTTGCATCATCTTTCTTGAATTCATCTCCTGTAAGAGTTGCCTTAAGCTACAGGATTGCTTTTGCTACTTTTTGTGTTGTATGTTTAACTTTCATAATAAACTTCTGTGTAGTGAAAACAAGGTGCTGTGCGTTCATTTCTGACTCCCTGGTAGTCCACGCTGACTTATTTCACGTTTATGGGGTAATTTTCCAGCCTGTGCCAGTGAGAGGCTGCCTCGATGTCCTTGGTTAAAGCAGTAGTGACATCCAGTGGTCACTGAACTAACTGACCTCCCTCCCCGCTGCGTTCAGCGGCTGTGCTGGGGGGAGCCTTTAATAAAAGGGTCTGTATTGGGGAAAATGTGGGGTTTGCTGCCCTAAAATTCATGTAGTTTCTTAAACTGGCCTCCTTTACTCTGCCAGCATGTATCTGCTCCAGGTGCCCCAAGCAATGGTACCTTGCTGAGCTGTTCTGGCTTACAGGGGTGTGTTGTTTGTGAACATGTTGTTATAGCAGCTCTTAAAGCTTGTTAATTGTGCTGCTTTGGACAAGGGGGAAAACAAAGGGCTTTGCACTTTGAAATTTAGGAAATGGGGAAATGTGGTAAAGTACTGTGGGGAAAATAGGAATGTTGTCTACTACACCTGAACACCTTATGAAGCTGCTAAAAGTTTAGGTGGTATAACTTCAAACTGCTAATACTGAATGAATGACAGTGGTGGTTATGTACTGAAATCAGGTAGAGGGTTAATTGCTTAATAGTTTGAGAACAGCAGTTCATTTTGGGAGTGTTTACATGCAAAGGACAATGTGTAACCTTGTTTTACACTTTGACTTTCTGACTGCTAACAGAACAGAGAGTGCCTAATAAAAAACAGCACTGCTGTCACCTGTGGTTCTCCTGAAAAAGTTCAGTTTGGAAGGGAGGTAGTAGCTTTTAAAAGAGACATAAATGACAAACTGTTGCTCTGATTCTGTTTCTGAGGACAGACAGTATCTGTCAGGTACTGCAGGCTCTGCTGTCCAAGCAGTTAGTTTTGAAAGGCATCTGTAAACAGCTGTTCATAAAGCCATTGGGTGACTCGTTGTTTTACCTGCAAGTTCATGGAATGAGTCACTTTTCTGCCCAAGGTAGGTCACAAGTGGATGAGTACCATACTCCTACAGCCTTTACTTGGGTGAAGGCAGCTAAGGTCAGAGGCACTTTGTTCCCCTGGTTCTTCCTCAAAGATGAGGTTTGCCTCTTGGGTGCATGAATCGCAGAGGGAATCTGAAAATCTCCCTGCATCAAGCATATACATCTGCAAAGTATTTTAAAAACATTACAATCCAGTCCCTCAACTAGCATGACTTGAGGATGGCTGTCCTTGATTTAGGAGTGAAAGACCTCTTGAAATGGCAGAGCTTGCTGGAATTGAGAAGGATGCCAGTGACCTGGAGCCCAACCACAGCAGGTGAGGTATGGTGACTTCTGTCTGGGGTTTTTAACCTCTTGCAGTTATATGACCTGTTCTGAACATGAGAGAATATGGAGTATTAACTCTTTTTCAGAATTCTGTAATGGTTTGGGTTGGAAAGGAGCTCAAAGAGCATATAGTTCCAACCTTCCCCTAGATCAGGTTGCTCAGAGCTCCATCCAGCCTGGTCTTGAACACTTCTAGGGCTGGGCAGCCACAGCTGCTTGGGGAAACCTGTGCCAGTGCCTCACCACCCTCACAGGGAAGAATTTCTTCCTGATACCTAATCTAAACCTCTCCTCTATTTGAGTTCAAAAAGTTCCTCTCCACCTCTCTTGTAGCCCCTTTCGGTTCTGACAGGGCTCTAAGGTCTCCCTGGAGCCTTCTCTGGGCTGAACAGCTGTCCACATAGGAGAGATGGTCCTGCCCTTTGAGCCTCTTTGTGGCCTCCTCTGGACTTGCTCCAGCAGGTGCATGTACTTTTTACATTGGGGATGCTGGAGCCTGATTCAGTGCTGAAGATGGGTATCTCAATATTTGGTCCATTTACTGATGTTCTCAAAACCTGAATGAGCATGTTTCCTAGTCTCTCTTGAAGGTAACAGCAGCTGTCAGCTGTCCTGGGCTCATGGTCCCCCTTCTGAAAGCAGAAAACCAAGAAAATGAAACTGTGAGTGAAAACAGCAGCTTTTCTGTTCCTGCAGCTCTATGGTGGTTTGTCCAACAACGAGCCTTGTTCAGATAAGGGTTGGGAAGTTAAATGAAGGAGACCTGGTTTTGGAGACCTCCAGAATTGTATGGCCTAGCATGATCTTGGCAGGACTTCTGTATTTTTTTATTCACTCTTAGTTCAGGACTCCACTCTATGACAGATGTATTAAAGAATCCATCCTGTCTGCATAGAAACAGGACCGAATTTTCTGAAGTTACATTATTTTGTTACTACATTTCCAATGCAAATAAGAGAATGACAAAAATGGCTTCAAGGATGAGAATTACAGTGCGAAGTTAGAGCACAGTGAACATTTGCATGGGCAACATTTCTCATAGCTCATTTGCCTGACATCCTGTCTTCACACTGCCATGAAATGCAAATCTCATGCCATGCATATTCATCAGCTGCTGCACGCTCAGAGCTGCTCAGGGTTTAAGTAACTATTAAATAGGTTTCTCAATTACAGGTTGAGATAAGTGAATTTTCAGAATTGCCTTGGGCTCGTTTCTTAAAGCTCAGGAGTGAGAGGAGGATAAAGTAGCACAGAAGAGCTGAGTGCTGCCTTGGCTGGTGCTGTCACTCGGCATGGTGGATGGCAGGAGAAAGATGGGGAAAGGAGTGGGAAACCAGAATGGTCCTTGCTCAGCTGTGAGCCTCTTAGTGGGCCTTGTCCACAGCTGATCACAGCTGGTGAGACACTTGCCAAGTCTTTGTTGCTCCCTGCAGCATTTCTGATGTGTAACTGTTTTCCACCCTGTTGGGATTGACGAAGGGATCTTGGGAGGATGTGCTTGTCCCAGTGCCCCACTTTCCCTTGTTCCACAGGCTGTGACTCTGTTTTTCATAGAAACCGGTACCTTTACTACCTTTCCCCCTTTGCAATCTTCTTTCTTCCCCAAAGCAGGTGATGGGTTTAGCTTGAAAACCTTTTACAGCTGGAGCAGGGTTTGCTCCTGAAAGTTCTTGGCTTTTCCAGCTGTTACCCACTGGTTTCCTGGGAGAGTCTGTCCCTTTCCTATCTGCATCCACAACCCTTTCAGCTTTTGCTAGTCATACCTTGCAAAATCCCAGCAAAGCATAGGCATAGAAAAATAAGCGGTGTTAAGAGAACGAAAGCTTTTTGGCTGTGAGATGCACTTGGCCTTGATCACTTCCTATGTGACTGGCTTACTGAAGCAGACAACTAGGGTGGAGGTGCTGCTGCTGGGGGATTTTGGGAACATTTCAGGGCTTCAACCCTTCACAGCAGTGACGCAGATCGTGGCTCTTGAGGTCATGCTCCTTGGGAGAGCTTGGACATGAAGAGCTGAGGTCGGTATGGGGGAAGTAAGGCGGTTCAGGGAAGAAGCCATGGGAAGGTGGATTTACCACAGAGGTTGGGTTTAAAGCTTTGGCTTTGAGAAGTGAGCAGGTACTGAGCACATCAGGGTGGAAGAGAAAATGGAGGTGGGTGGGAATGAAGGGGTCCTGCCTGAGCAGGTCTTACTGACACTGACTGCTTCCTTCAAGCCTAGTGGGTACTGTTGTGTCTGCCCTTGATTTATGGTAGCCAAAATGGTTGTGGCTCTTGAGTCTTGAGCAGAGAGGGCACATGGTGCTGAGGGCTTATGACCAG